CATAGGGATGTCAGAAACACAACTGGTACCTTCAGCAGGGTGCCCAGCTCTCAGTTCCAGCTGCAAGGAGCCACAGGTCACCAGCAGAGCAGCCTCGGCTTTACACAAAGGTATTTTTGCTGGAACAAAAGCAAAGGCCACAGAAATAGGTTGATTTTTTTTTTCCTCTTTTTCCTATGATATGACTAAACTCCACGAGCAGGTAGTGCCTGGGCATCCTGCAAGCATCCTGCAAGCAATGCTTTCAACATGAAGGAACAAAAGGCTGCGGTGGGGAGGAGAATGGTGGGAAACCTTGCGGGCTCCCGAGATTCATTTGAGACCTGGTGTTTGCAGCACAGGCTGTATTTCATCTTTTCATAAGTAACTCTTACCAGGAAACATTACAAAAAAGGGGGCATTTCAAGGCAGAAAAGTTGGTCGCCAAACGTAATTTTATTTTATTTTTTAAACCTTTTGTTAGCGACTCTTCTGGGGAGCAAATCCAGCAGAGGCAATACAGTGCAGCGTGCACTCCTAAATTAGTTTCCAGGCACTTGGGATGCTTTATTATTCATTTCCTCCAAATATTAGGTAATGCCTTTCACCCCTTTCAAAGTCTATACGAGGGGTCTTTGATGCATTGTGGGACTTGAAAGTTTCAGGTCTAAAGAAGCATTTCTTTTAAGTCCTCCCTTTTATCAAGCATATTCTGTTCTGTTCGCTGTAATGCACACAATGGCATGAGAGTCCTGACCTGCTTCATGTCTGATGAGTTGAAATCTCAGATGCATAGGATAAAACAGCCATTCCTAGCAATACAGCTTAAACACTTAGGGCTCTATTCAGGCAAATATTACCCAGGGGTCTGCCACGCCGCTGAAAAGCTGCAGAAATTGGCTCCGTAGACGGCTGACCAATTCAGCAGTGAGAAATGACCCCGCCACATTAACTCCCCTTTTCATTTCACCCTGGGCGAGCCGGGGTCTGGAGGTAAGCGCAGCAGAAGGCGAGAGCCGGCTGAAGCCAGATTCATTTTCTTTATATAAAGTATTTTTGTGTGCGTGTGTGACCATGAATGTCATTATGCGGATCTGCAAAAGAAGGAAAGTAATGACATTAGGGCACAGGCACCGGAATCAGGGAGGTTTTTGTCTTATGGTGACACTGGAGCGCTGTCATGTCTTCTGGACAAGCAGAATTTGTAGGCTTTAAAACACTGCAAATGTCTTAGAAAAGCAGGTCTCTGCCTCTGCTGAAGGTATGTGGACTTTGCTGGATCACTTTACACCCTCCAGCATCAGTCTCCTCCAGGTGTTAACCAGAATTGATACCTCTTGTTCCACAATAATTTACCCTGTTCCATAATAAATTACCCTGTTTATAGGTTTTTTTTGCCCTGTTTTTTTTTCTTCTTTATACTGAAAGCTCACTTAAGACATGGCTCCTGTCCAAAAATATACTGGACCCAGGGCAGGGATGCAGAGTGAAACTTATTATTGCAAAAGCAAACATATTTCAGTACAAAATATCATGGTTTTGTCCTTTAGACAATCACACAGACATATTTTTATAGAAGTACCAGGTAGTTATTTTAGGATATTAATCTCCTCTGATCAATCTCCTCTTTACAAGTTAGAACTAGGAAAAAAATTTTAAAGGGCAATCTGGAAATGCAAGGGTAAAAATTCATGTACAAGCTGGAGAGTTCCTGCATGGGCTGAAGCTGATGGAATTTGCCTTGCATGCTTTTTACCCTAGGAGCAAAAGACGTCTCTAGAACAAGTCAGAAAACAAGTGCTCAGACTATATGGGAAGATATTTGTAAGAGACAGGTCCTGTTTTTCTGACTCCTCTTGCCTGCCCCAGTGCTGCACCCTGGTATGACCTGCAACACCATCCTATCAGCCTGAGACCAGCCTTGATAATCCAAACATTTCTCCAGGAAAAAACATTTCTTAAGCTATATAGAAAGGAATAAGTTCACCTTGCATGAGTAAAACCCAGCTACATCTTTCCTGATACTGGCAAAAAATCCAGCAGCACCTCCTGTGAAATGGGAATATATGCACCTGCAGGCCCTGGCCCTGGTGTGTGTGATTCTAGGATTAGCTCTAAAAGCAAATCAGACACACAAGGATGTAATCTCCAAACCCATCCACCTCCCCCAGGATGCTGCAGACCTGGAGAGATGAGCACAAGCCTAATTTTTGAAGGATGCTGAACATCTCTCTCACGGCTTGCATGGCAGTAGCAGCAAAAGGTCCAAAAAATAATATAACAAAGACTGGACAGGACTTTGAGTTACCTAGTCTAGTTGAAGATGTCCCTGCTTATTGCAGGGGGGTTGGACAAGATGTCTTTTAAAGGTCTCATACAACTCATACTATTGTATTGTATTGTATTGTATTGTATTGTATTGTATTGTATTCTATTCTATTCTATTCTATTCTATTCTATTCTATTCTATTCTATTCTATTCTCAGCTCTCATATTACCCACTGCATAGGAGGCTTTTTAGGAGGCTTTTTAGGAGCCCTCTGAAGCATCCTTACTAAATTACCATCAGGACATACATGGTTTGTGCCCCACATGTGAATGGTGCATTGCTGGTCTGCCAGAGGGCAGCTGACAAGTCACCATTGTGCATGCTACAAATCCTCTGAGCTGATAAGAAAACTCAAACAATGAGAAGATTTATCTGTTTGCAGGTGGAAATCCTTTCAGTCAAGACAACAGTTTTATTCATTTTGAGGTAAATGAAGAGTTTTTGCTTGGGGACCCCATCAGGAGCAGAGGCAGCACAAGGATGGGACCCATCACTCACCAGTCAGCAGAAAGATGCTGATGGGGTTGTCTGCACAAATTTTTAAGGAGCCTGAAACAGCTCCTTTGAGAAAGGGAGACAGAAGAAAAGAAGCAAAACTGCAGGAGGAACGAAATCTATTTGTAAACCCCAGGCAGAATTGACACAAGGCAGCTGGCACAGAAGTGCAGAGATGATAATGGAGCCTGATGGATAGTTCACAGGATTATCAGATACCCTCCAACTCAAATATGCTGAGGAACCAATTATTTAATGCTAAAGAGAGTGCAAACAGATGTTTAATAAGCTGGATCACTTCAGGATTGTTGGAGCTCAAGGGGACAAACCCCCACTGGTGTAAGTCTGGAAAGCCAGCATGATGAAATACCTGATGCTTCAGATACACACTGGCCCTCCCAGTCATCACCATCTCTGCCAGGAGACTGGGGGGCATGGAGGGGAAACACAGCTGGAATTTGGGAGCAGATGAGTGCAAGAGGCCCCTGGGCTGGGGAAGCACGTTCACCACCACCGGGAAATAGCACCCGTATCTGCAGCCAGTAGCCTTGCTGACTGCCCTGTTTACAGGAGAACGGGTTGCTCTTCTCAGGAACAGTCTGGGTTTATTTTATAGCTGATTGCAGAGAGGCAGAAGGGAGGCTCTAGGAGGTGTGGGAGACAGAAAGGAGTTTAGTCTGCACTGCAGGCACTGATTAGAACCTGTTTTGGAGTCAGGGATGATTCCTGTGAACAAAGCAGCCCTTCTCAAGCTCTTCTGCTGGCAGGGGTGTTGGGGGAAAGCAGAGTCTCAGCACCCTCCCTGGCTGCCTTGTCAGGAGGTGACCCTGCAGATACACCATCCCCTCACCTGGGCTGCTCTTTCAGCCAAAGAAGAGGGACAGACTTCTGTTCATCCTCGCATGCTGCCCAAACTAGATCAGATGTAATGGGATAAAAACTTCTCCACTAACTATAAAGGGCCCCTGAATTTTTAAATGTCTGAAGATTGTTTCCTGAAACCACAGTGTGTAAATTTCTCCCTTCATCTACACTCCAGCTGTACTATAGGAGCTGAGATGTGTCTTAAAAATCTGCACCTCCCCATGATCCAACCTCCACTAGCACTGCTCCTGTAGTCCAGGCTACAGCAGAGATGGAAGAATAGATGTAAGAAAGAAATTCTTTATGATGAGGGTGGGCAGGCCCTGGCACAGAGTGCCCAGAGCAGCTGTGGCTGCCCCCGGATCCCCTGACATGTCCAAGGCCAGGTTGGATGGGGCTTGGAGCAACCTGGGATAGTGGAAGGTGGGGTTGGAATTCCCCCCACCACAGCAGGGGGTTGGAATGAAATGAGCTTTAAAGCCTCCTTCCAACCCAAACCACTGTTCTACAATTCTGCGATAGCCCAGCAACGAGATGCTCCTCACCACCCATCACATAATCACAGAGGAAATTTGCACAGGAGTAATTTGGTCCTTGAGGGATGGGAACCTGTGGGGGCTCACAGCATGGCTCTGCTGAGGGTCTGGCCAGTGTAAACTAGGAAGTTGCTCACGACAAGACTGTGATAAAAACCCCAGCCTCCCACCTGACACAAAGCAAAATATCTCAGCTCAAAAACATCAGCTCAGGGTCTGGCTCTGGCATATCTGAACCAGCTCAGATGATAAAAAAGGATTCTCCTTTCTTGCTGTTCAAGACCTCTAGGCAAACATCCAAGTCACAGCCTCCTGTGTGACAGCTGCAGAAAACAGGTCTGGAGAGGACCTTGAAATGCCACCCAGATCACAGCCCCATGACTGGGTCTGGACGGGGCCAAGCACAACAACAGCCAAAAGCACTCCAAGCATTAACAAATATTGTTGCTTGGTGCACTCCTGTGCAGCTGCCAGTGTATCTGCCGCCTGCTCCTTCCAGCACTCAGCACTGAGAACACACATATTGATGAGAGCATCTTCCACGGATTTACAGGAAGAGCAATTAGAGGTTTGGTCGTTGATGACAGCAGAGAACCGTGGTGGTGCTGGTGGTAAAGATGATTTGTGCTGATCCATTAACACAGCAAACTCCCTCCCCTCCCACAGGAAATCTCAGTAACTGAAGGGCAGATCAGAACTCCAAGACCCCAGAAAGGTACCAGGACAACCACATCGTTCTCCCCAGTCTGCATCCTGCTTGCCAGCTCTCCCCACAAAGCTCACCCTGTGTGTACTCACCAGTACCCTTGGTTTTGTTTCAAAATGGTGATGCTCCTTTCGCTCCTCTGACCATCTCCTAAGGAAAAACAGAGAGCAAAAAAACACAAAACATAACCCCTCATCAGATCCAGGACTGATTATGTGGTTCAGAAAGGTCAGCTCTGGAGAAGTCTCTGCCGGGACGATGAGAAAACACGGAGCCAGGCCTGCTCCTGCTCTCGCACCACACGTGCTCCCACGGTCAGTTCCTCTGCTCATCACCCTTCCCTGTATCACAACATCACCTAGCAACACCGTGCCACGGAGGTGCAAGCCCACCCCATCCTCCCACTGTATCACATCTCCAGTGACAGCTGGGAGATGAACACCCCGGGAACGGATCACACCGGAGCAGCTTTGGGCTTCTTCGCCCATCCCACCCCAGATAAACATTACACTTTGGCCCCTTGGGATGATCAGCTTCCCAGGGCTTCCTACACCCATAGTTCAGGTACCAGTGGCAGCTCAGTAGTACCTGCAGTACAAATCCAGTACAAACCCACAACAAACCCACATTCCACAAGTGCTGGGGTGCAGAGATGGAAGGTGTATGACCAGCATCCTCCCAACTCTGCCCATAAAAGTTCCCTGCCCCTCTTAGCCTGGGAAAATCTGTTGGAGAAATGGAGCTCTACAGAAGCTCCTGGCCACCACTTGCACTTCTAAATGATGGAGACAGGGGGCTGGCATTTCCAGAAGCTGACACCTCCATGTACGTGGGCAGGACTCAGGGCTGACGAAGGAGATGGGCAGAAGGATGTTTTGGGGTGCTTTACTCCACTTCAGAACAATCTCAAGGTGTGAGATCCCCACCAGCAGACAGACACCGTATCAATAGGGTCCCCTAGGACAATTTGGGGGGCTAGCCCACACCTTCTCCTCCATGAGGACAGAGAGGAAGACCAGTGTGGCTACTACAACACTGGGAACATATGATGCAGTAGTGCTCAGCTGGAAAATGCTCCTGTGGCTCAGCAGTCAGGTGGAAAAGCATTATCTGCATGCCAAATAAGCCATAACCTGGGGTATTTTCCCTAAAATGGCACCACCAGCTCACATCTGTCCTTGAACCTGGGTTTGTACCTGAGTCCTGGCCAGGGTCAAGAGGTTCCCTCCTACTCATGGAAGCTGCAAGGGGAACAGGATCTCTCTGCCAAGGAACAGCCACTCAGTGTGTGCAGTCTCCATTTTACATGAAAAGCTTGAAACCAAGGCAAGGAGACACTTGTCATGGGGAAGCTGGAGATGGAGATTCTGTCTTCCCAGGTTCCCCAAGAGGCTCCTGACTGGATCAATCACTCAAGCATCTCTTTCTCTTCTCCAGGCAGCCCTTGAATGTTTTTACTACTGCAGGCTCCACCAGCACTATTTCCTCATGACACAGGGAAGCAACTGGGATCCCTCTCACAGCTTTCAGACAGAGCTACCGATCTTGATTCAGCCTTTATGAGATTCTCATTTCAATATTGTCATGGGAAAGCATCAACAATATTTTCCAAGTCCAGCTGATACCTGGATGACTATCCCAAGATGGAGAAACCAACAGGCTCTGACCAGCCTACCCAATCTATTACACTGGTAAATTACTGCTCTGCACATACACTCAAGGAACAGAGCAAAACCATGAAGGGTAACCTTTGTGATGGCCTCTCATTCTCCTTCTCATGTGTCTACAACCACCAGCCCGAGGATATTTAGGCAGTCTGAGGACATTCAGGCAGTAGGCAATGCATGGAGCACATGTGAGGTACAGAACGGAGTGGCTGCAGACGAGCCCCAGGGCCATGATCAGCCCTGAGAACAGGACTTCCCTGCAGCAAATGTGTCCACTTGGCTCCAAGAGCATGCAGCTGCTGTGACTCTCCAGCATGACCTCCTTCCTCAGCCAGGGCCCTGTTCAGATCATTAACCTACAAGGAGCCACCACTGTCGAGGACTAATGGCTTGTTTGCCACTCAACAGCCAAAAGCGATCAGCAAGGGGGCAAAGAGTTTAATGCAGGCCACTGTCAACATGCCCACATTGGGCCAACACCACCATCTTTGTTCAGGGCAAAATTCACAGGGGAAGCTGCAAAAATCCTGCAATGGATCCTGGCTTCATGGCAGAGTTCATGAGCTCTGCTTGGGTCAATGCACAACCTCCCCTCAGCACCAGGGCAGAAGCTGGCACCACATTTCCTTTGAGGGGTGTTGGGCTTCAGCTCTAACTTCTACATAAAGTCTCCTTCTCTCCACAGGCCTTTCACTGCAGCTGCTCCTGAGAGCAAGGAGAGTTCAGCTGGCAGTGCAACACCTCATTGTAGGCAGGTGGGGCTGGTGTCTTCTCACAAGCAATAGGACAGGAGGGAATGGCCTCAAGGTGAGCCAGGGCAGGTTGGGATGGGATATGAGGAGAGATTTCTTCACTGAATGGGTTGTCCAGCCCTGGCACAGCTGCCCAGGGCAGTTGTGGAGTCCCCACCCCTGGAGGGGTTTAAAAGCCATGCGCATGTGGCACCAGGGGACTCGGGTCAGTGGTGGCAGGGTTGGACTCAATGGTCTTGTAAAGCTTTTCCAACCTGAATGATTCTGCGATTCTACGATTCCACCTAAAACCATTCAAATCACTTTTGGAGGGACAAAAGAATTGTATGGGAACTTCCATAAATGGGAGTTCCTGGGCTAAGAAAAGGCTGCACCTGAATCACAGTTTCATTAACCCTCCAGGAAGAGTGGCTGGGAATAAGCACACTCGTGATCCACCCTCTGAACCAGAAGATGTCCTGGTGCTCTTGCAGCAGTTTCCAAAATAGGATGGGCATTGCAGAGAGCAGCCAGGCTTCATTCTCCCGTTCCCAAAACACACGTGCGATGAGAAGCTACGAATCAACCAGGCTTGCCTGTGGCTTCCCCTTCAGCCACAAGGTCCCTTTTAGCTTCTTGGGGTGGTTTGCAGAATGCCTCGAACACACCCTCCTGCAGATGACACTCAGGTTTCTAATTACCCTCCCTGAACACATCACTGACGTGCCACATCAGCTCACTCGCGGGGCCGCTCCTCTCACCACGTGTTGCCAGCAGTGGAAGCTTCTGCCTCTCCTCAGCACACTGACCTCCTCATCACCTGGCTGGGCTGAGCTGCTGGGCTGGGAAAGATGATTTCCAAATAAACTGGTGATGTAGAATGCTTGTCCTGCCCTTGAGGTCAAGCCCACATGATGAAAGCCTTTATCACAGAATCACAGGGCAGTATGGGTTGGGAGGGACCTTTACAGGCCTAATTCCATTTTGTTCAGCCCCCCTGCCATGAATAGGGACATCTTCACCTAGATCAGGTGGCTCACAATGCTGTCCAGCCTGACCTTAAATGTTTCCAGGACTGGGGCATCCACAGCTTCTCTGGACAACGTGTGCCAGTGTTTTCACACACTCACTGTAAAGAACTTCTTCCAAACAGTTGGTTCCCCTTTAGTTTAAAACCATCACCCTTTATCCTATTTCAATAGACCCTGTTAATTTTGTCCCCATCTTTCTTCTAAGCCTTCTTTAGGCCCTGGCAGGGGCTCTGAGCTCTCCCTGGAGTCTTCTCTTCTCCAGGTGAGCGCCCCCACCTCTCCCAGCCTGGCTCATGCAGAGCAGCTCCAGCCCTCGGAGCATCTGTGGACATTCCAACAGGTCCATGTCCATGCTGAGGACACCACAGATTTCTCCAGAGTGCCTACACTGGGAATAGCCCAACCCTCAACAGAACAAGCACCCCCATATTTCCAGTGGACTTCCAAGGCTGCCATCCATGCTCTAGCCCTGACCACCCAGCAGCTGGAATTTAGCTCACCTGAAGCACAGGACTGCCCTGGGCTGACAGCCAGCACAGACCATGGGCATGCCCTCCCCTTTGTCCAGGCCAGGGGGTGACCCCCCAGGACAGCCTGATAAACCTGCACCAGTCCCACCAGGCATAGCAAGTAGGACTCAGCTCCAATTATGGCATCTCAGCTGGGGAGCCCATGCAGATCCTGGCTTTAGTCACCTTCATCCAGATTCTCGTTGCTACACTGGACTCCCTAAGCTATCCAAAACCCCTGCCTGGCTTTGCTAGACAAAACCCTGGACCTGCATCCCTCCTGACTGACAGATGGAGACTAAGCAACGTGTCCTAGTGTAAAAATGGACACCTATGGCCAGCAGCTGAATTGTGACTACACATGTGGTGGCTGCTCCAGCAGCCACGGACTGCAGTTGGAACGATTTTGGGTGTTTGGTGAGCCATTTAGTTACTCAAACTTCAGCATCTCTTCTGGGGTGTGAAACACCCTCCAGGCTCCACTGGCCAAACACCCACTGACTCTAAAAGGAGATTGGGCACCAAGTTAGTATTTCTGTCTGCCACTACAGCCTACCTCCAGCTCCTGGTCTAGGATTTAACAGCTCCAAAATAAAACTCATTTGCATAGGATGGGGATGCCCTGCAGCTCTGCACTCTCAGGCCCCTGCTGTGCTGAGCAGCACAATCCTGGCACATCCAGGATGGTTCCAGTGCTTGTGTGCCTTCTGCATAATAGGACTGAAACAAATAAATTTGACAAAGAAAGGAGAAAGAACAACTGATGTGCAAATCCATATCATAAATCATTCACCAAATCTGTTCTGTGATTTTGAAATAATCTTGGAGGTTGCTTCCCAAGTGCTGTTTGCAAACCCTCTGTTAATCTGGGAAGCAGATGCTGCTACAGTAGGCTGTATTACAGCATCTTCAAGAAATCCCCATCATATGTTACTTTAAAATGCCCATGGCTTTTGCAATCAGTTCTTTTTAAATCTTCTTGGCATATCTGAAAACCAAACATCATAAAAAAACCTCTTTGCTGTGATTCAGCTGTAATGGGTCTAAGTCTAGGAAAGAGCTCATCTCACATCTCCTTTCATACCCAGATGACCCCCAAATTCCTCCCAGAGGCCTCTGACCATTTCCTTCACATGCTCTAAAGAGTCTTTGACTTCCCCAGACTCTTCCTGAGCTTCAGTGAAAGCCTGTGCTGCCTCAAACAGGGCAGTG